TCGTGCCACTTCTTATATACGAATCTGATAAGAATCGGATAAGATTCTTAGGAAAAGCAGACAAGAAGCTGGCAAGATCCTTACCAGATTCCCGTCCAATTCTTATATAAGAATTGACGACTAGGGCGTTATGTTGCGCCGTGGCTCACTCTCACGCTGCACCTCCCCTCCAACCGCACCACGGTTCTTATATTCAATGGAATTCGACATGTTTCCACCGAGCACAGCACATTTTATAGAAAATCTTATATTTGTGTATTCTCGTGTATTGTCAATGAGAATACACCAAGCCTTCGATAGTGTAAAGCAATCTCAAACATAATACGAGTATCAACATAATCGGAATTATTTATCTGCGTATCTTAAATGAACAAATAAACATGTTAAAGTAAACAGATCTTAGAGCAACACTTATACAAATTAATTTTCTCGCTCGTGTGTCGTGAGTTTTTCCGCAGAAGGTAACCGATGTACGTATCTGAACAGCAAGTCCAGCGCGAATGTTTTTTCATGCAGTGCATCGGTTACGGAGAGTGTAACAGATAGACATATACGAGATACCAATGATCAACGAGATAGGGAGAGGCTGAGAGTAGTCTGACCGAATTCGGCAAATTTCAAGTTAAATCCAGTGCGTTTCCAACAAGATCTGGTAGTCGTATTCCTGACCTGGGAAAGTTATCAGGTACTTATCTTGACCCAAAACCTTAATTAACGTAAAATGATGTAATCAGATTGATTTTGAAAGAAGATTCAGTACTTGAAAGTTCTGAATTTAAGCAAGAATCAAACATGATTTATGTTTTGCTTTTCATTACCGATACAGCCTAAAGCAGTGCCCTCTATCATATGAAACACTAAATACTTCGGGTATTTATAATATAATAGGTCATGAAAAAAAACTAGGAAACGAAATTGCATTTGATCCTTATTTAAATCCATAAGATTCATCCGCTGACTTTGTCTGTTTTCCAAAATTAAAAATGCATGAAATAAGCACGTGTCTTCCTCTTAAATCAGATTCTAATTTGGTTTCTTGGCAACGGAGGTGAGGTGGGCGCATGTAAACGTGGCTTGAGCGCCAGCAGGAATGAATTCAATTACCAGACAATTCAACAGCAACGAAATATTCTGATTTTTTTCGATTCCCGAATAAGTTTATTTATAATACAGATAAGTCCAGAAAATACCAAAAGAATTTTAATAGTTTCTGGACGGTCACACTTGGACTGCGTGCTTGCGACCGTACACTATGTGGTTCTTCTGTTTTACATGAACCAAATATAGAGTTCACTATTATCATATTCGTAATAATAGCCTGTTCTCGCTTTTGAAAATAATGAATATTACTTATATTGTCTGTCCATTCATAGACAATTTTTTATTTATTATATCTTGGCGAAATAGAAGCACCGTAGATCGATACCGATAATTATCTTAGTATTTTCCAATACACTTATTATTTGACTAATAATACTTAGTATTGAATTTTATCATAAACCCAACTCAAACATGAAAACATCAAATTTAACAACATACTAGTCTCGTAGTACAAAAACTATGCAACAATATCGCTTGTTTATACGTAGTATTTTTAATACTTCAAGGAAGGTCTCAAATACATCAGATCATGGTTCTAAAGAAACGATTAAATGTCCAGATGGGTCAAGTGAAAATAACAATGATCAGCATCCTTATTATCAAAATGTAAAAATGATAAGAGATAAATATTTAAAAAACATAACTGTGACATCGTTTTACAGTCAAAGCGCAGTGGAACAAGCAGCAGCTAAATCACCTACAAGAGTAACGCCTTTAACAATGATGTATGTTACTAAATCGGACGATAAAAGTCATATTTTGGTGAGAACGAGGAAACTTTTGGAAATTAATTCCAGCTTGTCGATCTCGATATTTTTCATTTCATTTTTGAAATTCTTGATAAGTTAGTTGAAAGTTTAGTTGAGCGCGAACATTGCCAAAGTGAGCTGAAAATCCTATCTTTAGATTGATTTAGGCACTCGCTGCGAGAACGAGACTCATGACAAAATTATTTTTTTTGACTCTTTTTATTCTTATTCTAGCGGAGCGCTCAATTTTTGCATAAAGGTATGTTGTGCAGCTATTTAATAATTATTTGAAATAAAGAAAACTATAAATGATGGTTTTCCTTTAAGATTTACCGATACGTCTTGCTCATCGCATAGATGATTTCAGAAATTTACCATTTGTTGTTGCTTGCAATCCACTCTTATTGGAATTGGTATGTTAGCTTCGTTATCGATTTATCGTCTCTTAAACAGTATTTCCTTTTATCTTCACTTTCGTTGTAGCACGAACGATTTATTAAAATGTTTCACTCGTTATATTCATTTCCACCGGTATAACTACATAATAACAAATTGGGTAGAAAGTTACATGTGGTTTTTTTCGTTGCAGATAAAACTAATGGAACAAGACAAAGCGTTTACAGAATTACTTCGACATACGTTAGATTCAAGCTCGGATACGTTACCGTTACTTGCAGAAGGCTTTCGTGAGACAAGACGACATATCAAAGTAAGATGATGCTGATTTGTAAGAAAATCTGTTTGAATTGATTTTTTGTTTTGTCTTTACTTATTACAGGAAGAAACCCTTATAAAAGATTTTCTTGATCGATCATTATCATCTCGCTTAGCCATGCGAATTCTAATTGAACATCATATCCAATTACACGCAGACAAGGTAAAAGTTTTTTTTTGTATTTCTTCTCTTAACGATTGATATACTCTAATTTCGTAGCCGAATTATGTTGGTGCTATTTGTATGAGTTTTTCGCCGAAAAAACTCATCGAAAAATCAGCTGAACTAGTCACGTATGTGTAGTTTAACGTTATGGTAATAGAAATTTATTAATATATTTGTAGAAAATTGTGTCGAGCTCAATATGGCATTAGTCCTGAAGTACGTCTCGACGGCCATGTAAATAGCAGTTTTCCATTTATTCCCATCCCGTTAAATTATATTGTGCCCGAAATGTTAAAAAATGCATTTAGGTTAGCCTTCAATATTATTTTATTTTGTAATATATTGAAGGACCATTTTATTCTTAGAGCAACGGTTCAACATCATCTTCACTCGGACAACGAGCTACCGTGTATAAATGTCACTATAGTCGTCAATGATGAGGAATTGATATTACGGTAAGGAAAACATAATATGAAGATTATGTTTTTTGACATAAATTGGAGGTCTCTTTTAGAATCAGAGATAGGGGCGGTGGAATCAAACGTTCTGAATTAAAAAAGATATTCGATTATCATTTCACAACAACAGATTCGAAAGCTGATTCCAACCTAATGTCATACGCTAATTATACGAATGACAATGTATTTGATGAATTAATTCTTCGTGGCAGCAGCAAAATGAGCGGGTATGTTTTTTCCAAAAAAATTTTACTTCATGTTTTTTACTTTGAATAGCAAAAGACTGAAGGTCTTTCTATTGATTACTAATCCTATTGTTCGGGGAAATAAACCTCTAGATAAGTTTCAATTACAGCTTCCGATTTTCATTTGTATTCTTCATTTTAGTGATGTAAAATGAAATGACGCTGTTAACTCTGCTGCACTTTTTTTATCGCTTTAGATACGGTTTTGGAGTGCCAACATCTCGCGCATACTGTGAATATTTTAGTGGCTCATTATCGATAGAAACAATGTTCGGAATTGGCACTGACATCTACATAAGATTAGGTTTATTAACATCAGAAAAAAATGTTATTCGCTTGTAGATAGTTTAACACCAGTGAAAAATGTCGAGTACTTTGTTTTTTTCTCTCTTCATCTTGTTTTCTGAATTTTTTTGTCTAAGTCATATTCTTTTTTGTTTTGCATCATCTTACATAATCTAGAGCTTGGACAGTTCCAGTTACCGTTCCTAGTAAGTGTAACTGGTCATCGGTTACTAAGAATGGTAACTGATCACGTGCTCTTGTCAACAATTACTAGAAACAATGAGAACTGAAACTGTCTCACTCCTAACATAATCTCAACTTTCATAAAGAATATAAAGATATTTATTTTTCCCACTCGTATCTCACATGTTTGATTTGAAACCGATGCCAACTCTTTTGTTTCTTGATAGTTAATTTATTGTCGTAAGCTTTTAAAGATTTACAACTAGAGTTCAGTTATATTTTTTCAACCTGATATCTAGCTAAATGTATGCTATAAACAAGAATTGATAATAATCTCTTTCTTTCTTGTAATCTATAGTTTTACATGGGACGAAATTGTTTCTAGAAATGTTGTTTTTATTGTTGTTCCATACGTTTTAATGAAAGTAAAAAACAAGAAACCTCAATTATAGCCAAGCATTTTGATTCTGTTATATTTACCGTTATTTAATTTACTTTAAAGTTCGTTATTGGGATTTGTTCTTCATTTGTACACTAAATAAATTTTTTTGTAAAAATAGACTTTCATTTACCGTGCTAATAATTATATCTCACAGATTGGTTCACAATTTGTTAATCAATTTCGATTTATAAATTGAATTTGCCAAATACAAACTACAATCTACAACGAAACGTTTGGAATATAATAAAAATAAAGTTGGTACGAAGAAAAAGTACTTATTCAAAAATTAAAAAATAGGATCTAACTTCGTATTCATATCGACACTTCAAAAATGACAAATACAAACTATTATTTTCGTCCTTGGTGCTCTTGATTGTGAACAAATATATACTCTCCTGATTGCTAAAAGGTTTTTTATTCTAAATCAATATTTGAGTTGTTTACATGAGTCTGAAAGCTGTCAGAATTATTCAGGAAAAATGTTGGATCATTCTTATATAAGGAATAATTATGTATCTTAGGTGATTCATTCCATTACAACAATGACTTGTTGAATGAGAAGTATTACTTGACTTAATCAGTTTGAGTGTGGGTTTACAACGCATTGAAGATACAAATAATGTATAGTTAAACAAATAAAAGAGTGGGCGCTGTTTGAAATCAAAGAATGTGTTAATTTCTTTGACAATAATTGGATTTCTGTTTCGCCAAAATGTTTAGAAGTAATCTATATCGACTAAAGTAATTTCACCTTGTCACTAATGTTTTTCTGTACAATAAATGGCAAAATTAGATATGACGGAATAATGTATATAATCTTATTTTTCCTCATGTTCTGGTATGCAGAGATAAAAATCACAAACAATAATCATATTCATAACAGTTATAATACTCTAGCTATATTTTCTCACTGGATCTATTTCTGAATATTTAAATCGAAGGTGAATTAGACGTAAGTATTAGTTTTGAACTCTTTTCTTAAAGTTTTTAGTACTCGAAAGGCGACACTATGTTTGTGTGTGACAACTTGTCATCTATTCTGTCTAGGTAGTTTTAGCTCAAAAGCGATCCCAGTGACTTAATTTTTTTGTATACATAGTAATTCGAGGAGAATGCATCTCTTCTGATCTTTTAAAGTAAGTCCAAAGATAATTCTAGCATAGTTTCTCCTCCTAAGCTTGTCGGGGGTGTTCTGCCGTAACACCCATAGAGTGGGATGGCGACCATGAGCTGCCAGTAGCCAACTTGTCTTGTCCTGAGGTTAGCCCCTATTGTCAGGACTCTAAACTTCAATGGCTACGGAAAAAGATCAGAAAAACCGTGTTATGACACGTAATCATAACCATATTTTTGTGATCTTCACCATACACCCTTTGAGTATTTGTATTATTAACTAACTTCTCCTCCTAGATCCATGAACATATGTAGCTATCTTAGAGCAACACATTTTATTATAACTACAAATTTCTATGAAAACATTCGTAAAAACAGTAAACGGGCTTATCCAGTTGGTAATAGTTACTATTGCAATGAATATTCTACTTCTTTCTCCAATCGTGCTTCCGCTAAATTCCATGCTCACTCTCTTTCGTACTGTTTGTTTTCTGTTGTCCATCGTAATCGTTTTTCCATAAAACAAAGCAACAAGTAAAGAATAGGATATCCAGAAAACCTCAGAACAGAATGCATTTCTTAGGTTTTTCATAGCAAAAGCTTTATAGACATTAAAAAGTAATTGAGTCGTGAAATTTTTTGGTTTATTTTGAGTGACATTTTGTTGTTAGATAAAAATGGTCAAAAATCGCTTAAATAAACATTGTTAACCCTGATCCGACCACCTATAATATGCCCAAATTCTATCGGCTCCATTTGGATACTGCCTGAACACTAGGAATGTTCGGTTCTCGAGTGATAACCGAAACGAAAAGAAACGCAGTTCCAGTTCCGAACTTAGAACAGAACCGCGGTTCACAGTTCTCAGCTCAGAACAGGAAAATAATCTTTCACGCAGTAGCAATTCGACGAAACAGAATTCATTTTGTAGTAAACAAAAGCATTCTTTTAAATGATGATAGATAAATATATGTTTTGTAGCCTTGTCAATAGTGTGTTTTCATTTTGTTAAAAGAAAGGCAAATCAAATAGTCTCGGTTCCGAAAAAAAGGAACCGCCTGAGAAACCGCAGTTTCGGTTCCCGATGAAGAATCGGAAGTAAGAGAACCGAAGTTCCGGTTCCTCATGCAGAACAGAACCAAGGTTCCGGTTCTGCACAAGAACCGAGAACCGAACATCCCTACTGAACATAACGGTTAGATTTTATCGGTTCACTTTATATTCCACTGAATAGCAATAGGATGTGCTACCAATATGAGCTGATTGCATCCAGTCATTATTTATCTGGCAGAGCAGCAAGATATATCTTCAAAGCACTTGATTTCGTCTGAGGTCTGCGCAAACCCCAGGTGGACGGATCTGCAATGTCTTCAAAGCACTTGATTTCGTCTGACGTCTGCACAAACCCCAGGTGGACGGATCTGCAGCAGAAAGAAATTTTTTATTTTTAAATCTTAATTACATAAATTGATAAATTTCTTAAACTATTTTCAACAATCTTTTCATTTTTCTTGCTTATTGATTTTCATACAGCATTTTTTGCTCGCACATTTGAAACTATAGTACTTTGTTTGAATGTCTTGGCATGAACAATTTTAAAAACGGTCTATTATCATTTTATAACGAAAGTTTTCTTTTGATTTTTCTAAGAATTTGTTTTTCGTCAGTGAATCAATTTAATTCACATCCTCGGGATTCTCATACTGAGACATCAATAAACAAATACAGTGCTCTACGAAAGTAGAAATATTTATCCTTATAACTCTCGAAACTATGATAGCTAGTGAACTGACATACTGCGTTATTATAACTCTCAAAGAGATGATAATTATCTTGTCAGTTCCAGGTTCTCTTGTTGCATGGTTCTTGAGATGTTGTATCATTTTTTTGACACTGTAATGCGATCAAGTTCGAACCAAGACATATTTAAAATTTTTTTAATCAATTTTCTTGATTTTTCTTGAATCGATATGCGGATCATCCCTATAAATGCTTACCAATTTACAAAACGATATAGAATGACTGTATATGTGAATAAATCAATAATGGGCTTTGATCCTCCAGGTAGTGGAAATCGATCTAAATCAGCACTTCATAAATTAACAAATGATGCTCAAAGGAACAAAAAAGTTGCAGAAATCAACAAAAAATCAGCAAAAAATGAAAATTAAAACATCACAGGTATTAGAAGGCATTAAATCTTTGAGAGTTATGTTAACTAGAATTTATCAAATCTAAACTAACTGCAGTGAAATTCCAATCAGCACAATGCTTTGAGTATCTCTAATATGGACATGCAGCAAATACTGTCGAATACAAACATGTGCTAGATGCAAGAGACAACATAAAACAGAAGATTGCGACCAAAATCATTAATCACAAATATTTAGCACTTCAACCACGAAAAATTGACCTCATCCATCATATCTGTCACTCATTAATGTAGTCATATATTTTACTAACAGTAAGAACAAAAAACATAGTTCTACAACTTTTGTTTATTTATAAAATAAGCAAAGTTCTAATAAAAACTGTTGATTTCTCAGTAGAATGTCCAAAAAAACGCAGAACAGAATGCATTTCTTAGATTTTTCATAACAAAATCTTTATAGATATTGAAAACTGATGAAATTGTGATAATTTTGAGTGTATTTTGAGTGCCCTTTTGTTGTTAGATAAAAATGGTCGAAAATCGCTTATTCTATTAAAAGTTGGTTTTCACAAGATTCTCAAATTCTTGTCGTGGAAAAAACATTGCTACAAGATTCAAAATAGTTGACTAGATGTGTGAAATGCATTTTTAAGTTATCTTTAGTCAGGATTACGAAATCCGGGATCTTAGAAAATTTACTGCTACGCCTACAATGTTTGTAGTTTATGTGCTGACACGTAGGAATAGTAGAATAAATTTCAAACTTGTCAACTAGAAAAAGAAGGAGAAAGTTTGAGATAGGCAGATCTGAATAAAAAACTGAAAAGAGAAATGGAGTCAAACATTTCAGATATTTTTACGGAACTTTAACAGTTTGTCGCTGGTTGTTGTTCTGCTATGTCTTACTATAAAACATTAAAGTCGGTCCCAGAGTTTATTTTTTTTAAATCAGGGGCAGAGATAATTTTTCTGATGCAATACAATGGGAACAATGTAATTTTTTCTATCTTTTATGAACAGTTGACAATACATGCAAAGTATTACACACGTAGCGGCGACTGTAAATTAAATTACTTTTCTACAAACTGAAAGCTTTTTTAGAAGTAATTTACTAGATGACAATAATGTTGAATTCTATTCAGTTTATTAGTAATAATCTAATTGAAC